CTTTCAGGAGATATAGTACCGCCAATAATCGTTCTTGTCCATCTAGAGGTTTCTATATTTATGGCAATTGAAGACTAATTATGTCATATCACGACTCTATCTCTCTACATCAATATTGAAGGAGACTCTTTCATTATCTATTGTTTTCACTTTATATATGTTTTTTTAAGTAATTTTTTTAATCTACTAAAAAAAACTGTTTCTATCACTTTAGAGCTTACCCTACTCCGACCAGTACTTTTGGGGCGTTAATTCCTAGTACAAAAAATGCACTTGCATGATAAATATCATAGCATATATGTCATAACAGTATATGGATATATGCAAAGTTGGCCGTAAAAAAGACTAAGCAAGGGCAAGGGACAGTCATATGTGCACTTATGCAATAACACATGGAAAGCATATTACAGTCAACAAGATTATTAGATACCAGTTGTAATGTAAATTCTCCCAATCCAAGCCTTCTGTCAAATTCATTAAAATCACCCTGACAATATTATTTGATAAGGTTCGCCTTAGAAGGCTTATACACAACACTTACCCAATAACATAAAAACAGATAATGACTACTCATGCAGGTTTTTCTAGAGTTGAAAGGTTTTTGGACATCGACCAGCATGCAACGTGTGTAGACCCCAACAGCACGAAACTTAAAAGCAATCATAACTGCTCACTTAATCTAACAACTAATAAGTCCTATAACACATCAGTATTTGCAAGAAACTGCCATTACCCAATAAGCGAACTCTTAATGCATGTTAAGGGCTGATGTACAAGTGAGCTAAAACCATCTAACAGCAATACAGATTCCTCGATGGAAGTTAATGCTGATGCATACCAAAACAGCATACCAGAAGAAACTACCCAATGAGTACCTGCTGCGATAACATTTGAACTATTTCATTGTGTTTTTTCCCACATGTAAGGAGACACACCTCCCAAAATCTAATAGTTTCCATAGTCCAAATATATGGCAAACCGAACTCAAGCTCAATAGTGAAAATCTATTGGACGTTAATTCAAATCATCAACCATAACCAAAATTTTCTCAAACACTCATGATCGTACAAAATATATAATAGATAAAAAATAGTCTCCATCCTCTCCGTCCTGAATGCTATCAACTCGAGGAAACAGCAAATCAACCAGATTAACCGAAACCCGATATCACCTTAAATAACAACTTTACAGATCCAACCTCAGAAAATCTAGCCCATAAACATGGACTACAACAAACATACGAAAGATCACAAAAAGGAACCCCACCCCACCCCACCCCCACAAAAAACAGAAAAGAAAAGAAAACGATAGAAGCAGCATTCAAACAGCAATGACGCAAAACCACCAAACAAGAATTACTAGACCTCCTAATTCTGATATGAAAAGAGGAAAAATGAACAAGGCGAGCAGGAGGCTTACAGCTTGCAATCAACGATCCGTCAAGCCACAGCGGTGATTCAGAAATGCCGAGAAAATTGGCAAAAAAAGGACCCCAGTGAGAGAAAGCCAAAAAATGAGTGGTGAAGAGAAGAAATCAATGTAAGGTAGAGGGGAGCAGTCGAGAAGGGGTCAAGGGGAAGTTTTGTTGCTACGCATTCCGTGAAAAACCGTACCAAATAACTGAAATCCGAAAATCTAAGATCTGTAAACCGAACCGCATTGCAAGAGAAGAAAAAACCAAACCAGACCGAACAGAACCAAACCGAAATTTTTTGGTGTGGTTCGGTTCGGTTTTTCGGTCAGCCGTGAAATCAACTAAAGATAACAGCGGATCAACCTGTAACACGCGCATTCAAAGACCACAAATTCAATCACACTTGCCCCAAAAGAGAAAAATAAAATTGACACCGCCCCCAGCAACATATCAAGTATCAATGAGCGCCCATGTCAATTTCCATAAGTTTTAAAAAATATGCTAGGAGATTTGAAAATCAGCACAGATAATGCCGAGAAAAATAACACACAGAACATTCAGCTGGCAACTTAATAAAAAAACCACTGTTTTCGACAAGAGAGCAAGACGAGGAGGAGAAACCAGACCTGAGTAACCTCCGCCGACGAGAGCGACGAGAGAGGGACGCCGGTGGGGCGAGAGCGGCGGAATTGATCGGGAGTGGGACGAACCCTGGCCTTCGTGATTCCTAATTCTGATTTCTGAAGCAGAGATCGTAACTGGTGTCGGATTTTAAGTTTTAACTAATTATAACAAAGCGGATCCGCTGTCCCCAGTTTATGAGAGAGAAATGAAATGAGCGATTTAAAATCGTGAGATTGTAAAGTCAATAACTACCAACTTTATTTGGAGACATTTGGTTAAAACCGCAATTTTCATATCGAAATACTACGTTCCACGGTACCATTCCATCGGATGTTTTAAGTTTTTAACCGTTGGATCCACGTGTGATTACATAAGATAAATGATCCAACAGTAAAAACACCCGACAGGATGGTACCGTAGTGGGGCCGTAGCATTTCCCCATGCTTAAAATCAATCCGTAGTTCATTTTTGTTGTTTTCTAAAATTCAAACGGCACAACAAAATAAAACTTTTTAAAATCAAATCGTACTGCACCGACTACATCGATTCGGTTCAATTTTTTAAGTTTCGCTGTAGTTTTTGAACACCCATAACTAAAGTCTGTTGCAGCCAATATGAGAGAGATTAAAAACAAATCTGGTTGTGTTTATATTTCGGAAAAATTCCATTCAATTTTTTCTTTTTTAATTGTCCGTGAATGTCTACGTTTTATTATTTATGTTTAATCCAGTTTATTTATTGTACTTGGATGTCTGAATTTTTAACTTTCTTTTATGATATAATTATGAGTACAAAAATATATTTTTTATTTAAATTTATATTTTACATATTTATAATAAAACATAATAAATATCAGTGCATCCATATCATTTTTATTTATGCAAAACTGATAAGTGAAATTTGTATAATACATAATAAATGTCAATTAATAAAGACCATTCTCATATTTGATGAGTGAATTTAAAAAATAATAACTGAAATATTACTTTAGTTAATAAATTAATAAATCTAAATATGCAATGAAAATAAGAAATAATATTTATATGCAGTTTTCAATTTTCTTTTTATATTACTTCACATTTTAATTATCTATTATTATTACATATTTTGATTTATTTCTTAATTTTATTACATATTTATATTACTGATCAAAATTAATATTTGAATTACATATTTTAAAATTCTCTATCAATATTTCTTAAGATAAAATTTATTTAACTTTTTTCATAAATATCTTATACAAATTAATTCCTCATTTAAGTTAATTGTAAAATATAGTTTAACCTTTTTTTTATCATAAATATGTAAAATATAGATTATAAAATTAGTCAAAAGACTTGTCAAAATTTTACTATGATGGTTCACCTACTTAGTCAAAATTAAAATTAGTAATTTGGACTTATCATGAGGTTGACTTGTAGACTTTGTTGGTTGCCAAGTCTCACAAGTAATAGAACTTGTCAAAAGATCCCATTATTCTTCGAATCTTCATACACTATAATATCATGCCTTGACCGATGATAGATACACAAGAATATAATTGACTTCAAATACTTTAGCAATAAATCATGCAAATTTTTAATGAGAGAATGCAAAATCATATTTTAGACAGTAAAATGCAATGATACAGTAGATTTTTGTGCAAATTGACCTTAACAATTTCAAAAAGTTGTTGTGTGGGTCATTATCATTGGTAGTCTAGTGGTTTTCAACGTCGGGAGAGGTCCCGACTTCGGGTTCTTGCAGGTACGAAGACCGTTCGAGTTGAAGGAGCTCGAGTGAAGTCCATTTCACCAACACCCTCAGTTAAAACAAATTAAGAAAAAAGGTACTGAAAAGAATAACGTTTCAATTGGCAACCTTTACCTGTCGATAAAAATAATCTTAAATAATATCACACACCATGTCATGACTCCCAAATTCAAGATCCATGGTTGCATTATTGAAACTTCTTACCAAAGGGACAACAAGTTCACATACTAGCAACAGAAAAAGATGGAACAAAACATTAACACACTGTTTTTTTTCCAAAGGAAAAATACAAAAAAGAGAAATGTGTATCCATGACCTGACAACAGAAGACAAAGCCACAAATTTTCTAACTGTTCTGAAAAATGATCAAATCAGAGGAGTCAAATTTCCCATTCTCTACGAGTAACAAGACAGTGTTTAATTCTTTTTCGATGAACGGAAATCAAATAAAGGGAACTAGATGATATAACACCGAGAACAACTCGGTTCACTGACCAAATGTGTTAGCTCAATCGTAGACGATTTGGAAAGCTAATTCTATTTTAGTGCTTAATTTGTTCATTCAAGGACCGGTTAGACAGCTCGGAGGTTGGAAGATCAGAAAAGCATGCAGCTCAGATGTTGGGGACCCGTGAGCTTGAAGACAGAAGAGACCTCACAATTTGTAGGTCGGTTGGATTGAGGTTAGGCGAGCGACCTCGACATACTCGTAGCAGAAAGGTACATAGGTCAGGATTGTGACCTTGACGCCTAGGATTCGTACAAGCAGGAGGGGAGAGCATTATTTGAGGATAGGAAGTGTATATCTTCAAGAAACTCAACATGCGGGAAATTTGGTAAGTTAGGAAACACATACACGCAAAAAGAACTTCCATACAATATACAATTGTTCTCATTATTCGCATACTGACTTGAGTGTCAGAGGCTTTTCAACTTAGACCCCTTCCGACGTATTGCATGCCATCGTAGCAGCGAGTCAATTCAATTTTTCGAAGCATGGTCGCTCATCACATGTTGTCCATCCTTACACGGCCCTACCCAGATTGGCCACAGTAACAGCAAAAAACAAAAATAAATTAAAATCACCAAACAACGTCACAAAATCAGTTCAACGTTTGAGTCTTTATTCAATATATAACTTCCATCCAATAAACAGACAACATCATGATCGGTTCCCAAACATATATAGCATATTACACTGACAATACCATCAAATACAAAGCTTGAACTCCAAGTCCCTCTCCCCAACCGTGACGTTGAACCTCCTCTTCACGGTACCCTTGACGTCCGGATGCTCGAACCTAAGTTTATAACTCCCGAGAAACACCCTCTGCTGGAAAACCCCATTCCCATCGGTAACCCCATCCACATTGCTCTTCCACTCGTGGATCAATTTGTCGACCACATCCCCCGGTGGAAGGTTTCGAAAGTTGTTGTCAACCAGGCACATCACGGAACACCCTGTCGGGAGCGTGTAGTAGTTGGTGTCCTCCAAACATGTCTGGTTGCACCCGGTTGGCTTCCACCCGCCCCACACGATGATGCCCTCCACGGCCGGGTGGGAGTAGGCCTCCCGCATCACCTCCTCCAGATAGGGCGCTTGCGTGGGCCCGCGCCGCGTGTCGAGCTCGGTTATCCATATTGGACTCCCGGTCGCACCCAACGTGTCTAGCACGGCCCGGATGTACGAGACCATGGGACGCCGGAAGAAGTGGCCCTGCAGCCCCACATAGACCTTCAGCTGCTCGTTGCCAGGGAATGCCTTTGTCTCCCGGATCTTGTCCACGTACCTGATTAACAAATTATTTTAACAAAGAAATCGACATACAAGATTACAAACACCAAAAGTAAACTTGTACTTGGCGGGGATGACGTCGAAGTCGGCTGGTAGCTCGATGGTGTTGTACTCGTTGAGGAAGAGGGGCTTGCCGAGGTCGAGTGCATGAACAATCTGGTAGAACATGGCGGAGGCGTTGGGGCCGAGGTTCTGCTCGTAGAAGGAGTTGTGGAGGTTCTCGTTCATCACGTCCCACCCGATCACGTCTGGGGAGTAACGGGACACCACGGAGCCTACTCGCCGGACTGCGGCTTTGAGGATGTCCGGCGGGGAGAGGCGCTTGACCCAGTACTGGGTCAAGTTGGTGCTTGCCCATAGGATGGTGTGGCCGCGGATCGGGATGCGGTGGGCCCGGAAGAAGCTTGCCATGGCGTCGGGGACTGTGTAGTTCTCCACGTCCGGGTAGGTCTCCGTGAAGTACCACTTCATCTCGTTGTGGAAGGTGGCCGCCGTGAAGCGGCGGACAAAGTAGTCTTGGTACTTCTTGTGGGTTACGATAGACTCCGGCGTGCCTGACCCGATCACGAACTTGGGTCGGGTCTGACGGATGCTCACCTTCCCGCCACAGAGCTTCTTGCCCTCCCGGGTCGACACGTGGATACGAATTGTCCTCTTCCGAAACTTGCCGTTTGTAGAAATTTGACATAAAAAAAATTAACAAAGATTAAATAAAAAATCCTAAAAATATGATAACCTATAAAAAAATATTGAAAGTAAAATCAAAATATTGAAAGTAAAATCAAAATATTGACAAATTGACAAAATATCTTCACAATTGGCGTACGGTCTCGTTATGGAACCATTGCGTCGGGATTCGTAAACTGTATCAACTATCCCGACTGTTTACATGATGATCTAGCGGTTACAAATCTCGACGAAATAGTTCCGTAACTGGACCGTAGCAAAAAATGCATACTTAAAAGGATTTGATGAATATTAACTAGCTTAATTAATTAAATACCTGATCAATGGTTTTGTTCTGATGAGCTTGCCATTCCATCATAGTGAATGGCTTCAGAGAAACACTATCAACCCAAAGTTCAGCATCAGTGTTATTGGTCTGCATCATCCCAAATAATAATAATAATAATAATAATAATAATAATAATAATAATAATAATAATAATAATAATAATAATAATAATAATAATAATAATAATAATAATAACTACTTGAAGAAGTGAAATAAATTATTTAGTTCAAATTAATATAATTACAGAAAAATGCAGAGCAGCTTGAACATCCTCATTAGGTGTAAACCCTCCTTTGAGCTGTGACCAACACCCGGATTTCGCTATCGTAGATCCGATTATTGTACTGCGGTTATCAAGTCCCGTGTAATAAGTCGAGACGAGCTCCGAACCTTTGTCAACTTGCAACCATGCTACATGCAGAAATTTTCAATTTTTTTTTTATTTCCTTAAAAAAAAAATGCGTAATTTTGGCTATGTTGAATATATATATATATATATATATATATATATATATATATCAGTATCTTGTACGCTATGACAATAATAGTCTTCATATTTACGAACTGACAATAATAGCCAACCACCATTAAAATTTGGGAGTTATTACCCAAATTCAGCCAAACTCGCGGATTAAATTGCAAATACAATATGAGTCCATCTTTACGCACAAATTGGCAATAGTATCGAACCACAATTAAAATTTTGGAGTTTTTAACCAGATCCGGCCAAATTCGACGGACTAATTAATTGCAAAATATAGCGAGTATCTCTTACGTGGTGGTAATAAACTAATAATAGCCGTCGAATTTGGCCAGGTTAATTTGAGTAGTAAGT